TGTGTGTGTGTGTGTGTGTGTGTGTGTGTGTGTGTGTGTGTGTGTGTTTATCGTGTGTGTGCAGGTCAAGGGTGAAGCGAGTGTTGGTGGCAAACTCGTACAACTGTTCGATTGAGATTGAGCTGAGGAGGAGGAGGCGAGAGTGGTCCGTTGACAAGTGCGCACACCACCTCTACACAAACAAGCAATACATCGCCTCTCGGGAGCTCAACGTCAGAGATCCGGAAATTTTCCTGGATGCCTGCATCAAGATCTTCATCCGCGCCGTCGAGTACAGAGATGGCACTAACGCCAACTTCGACCCTCGCCGCCGTCCTGACAGGCACTGCATCGTCATCAAGACGGGCCGCGCATGGGTGCGACCGAGAGCTTAATAGGGAATAGTCATGGTGTCGCTAGGGAGGGACTTTCACGGATGTCTCTCACAAGGTTTCGTCAAACGTCGCTAGCAGAAGGAAGAGCTCAACAACCATAAGGGTCTGAGTGTGAGAGTTCTTGAAGCCAAGTACACAGGAACATGTCATGATGACCAGGAGGCCACACAAACAGTTAGGACCTTGTAGAGACTGAATTTGGGTGTAATAACTATTCGGAGATCCGGTCGCCTACCACATCGCGTAAAGGGCCTGCTATGTCGAGTGCATTAAAAAGGCGAAGGACAACTTAGAGTGGGGCAACCTGCTGACTCTCTTGATGCCTTAGAGCATCAGGCTGTACCAGAAATCTCAGTTCGAAAACAAAGAGAGAAAAACGGAGAAGTTGCACTGTGGTTTCCAAGAGTTAAGTCACTGGACAACGTCGGGTGATAGAAAATACCCGGCAAGCCCTATGGTGCCCAGGACTCCACTCCTTTTCCTTTTCCTTTTCTTTTCTGAGAAAAGTGTGGGTGCGTCACTGTTTTAGTTTGAAATAGGCAAGAATACACTAAATGGCTTAGAAACGTTTTGCCGCTTCTGCGGAGGTTTACATGCTAATCTTAGATTTAGCGTAGGGGATAAATATGAGTGAATAATCATGAACGCTCCAGACCTTCCTGGTCGTTTTGTCATGGAGTGGTTGTGGAAGAGGAAGGAACGAAGGAAGGTAAGAAGACCAAGATGGTGGTTTCACACTTCACCGGAAGCGCTCTCTGTGGTGTGGCACAACTTTCTATTTAGAGTGCTTCAAGTACTAGGCTCTTGTAATAGTAACCCAGGGTGGGTTTAAGGATTTGGAATTGTTGTTTCATCCTTAATAAGTCAAATTATCCCACAAGTATTTCAGTTGTCTGGATACCAAGGCTGGCTGTGCGCCCCATTAACCCTGCCGGTTATTGTCGTACAACCACCTCTTCGTCCTCCTCCTCCTTTGCCGTTGTCTCCTGTTCGCCCTCTTTTGTTGACCTCTCCTCACAAGGATTTCCTTTCTCTTTTCCCCTTTTTTACCTCCTTTTCCTCAATTACCACGTTTTCCTCCTTCATTTGGTTGTGCCTTGCCTTTCTCTCCTCCCTCTGCTCCTCTCTCCCCCTCTTCCTGCTCAGCCATTTCACGGCTTCTTGTCTTTTTGCTTGCTAAATCTTCATCTTATAATCACAACTCACGCCTTATCCTCCTATAAGTGCCTTTCATTCTTTTTCCATCAGATTCTCTCCTGCTGCTTCTACTCCTCCTTCCTCATTCTTCCTATCCCCAACTTGGTATGCCTTCCTGCTACTTAAAATTCCTCTCAGACTTTGTGGAAACAAAGTATGCCAGATCTCCTCACACTCTAACTTTAAGAATCTATAATTGTTGCCCCGTGTTGATTTTTATTTTTTTTTCCCCCTTACTCGAGTTTTTGAGTGCCGCTCAAAACCGCGCTCCAGCGCGGCTTGAGCGCCTTGAGCGCTTTCGCGGAGAGGGCGTTTCGCGGTGTGCTGAGTGGTTGGCGGGGTGTGCAGGGTCCCAGGCGGCGGGGAGCGGTGGGGGCCAGGGTTCTGGGCCTTCTGGCCTGTTGCCGACGGCACAGGAGGCCGAGTTCAGATTGAAAAAAAAAAAAAAAAAAGTCATGAAAGCAT